TAGCAATGTGAGCACAGACCAACCCTTTGTCTAAGGACTTTGGAATCAAATGATTCTTTTAAAAAAAAGGAAAATGTTATTATAAGAACAAAATAGAGAACCACACCTGAAAAAAAAAGAGGATGTTAGGGATTAAACACCAAAAATGACTTTCTTTGGGTCCGTCTTAAAGGTTACAAGCAAAACAAAATGAAAGCACCTGGGGTTAGCACAGAGGAATCTACAAATCAAAACAAACAAAAAGATCCCTGATCGCATCTTCTAACATTTCCTAATCTACTTACATATCTGGGGTTTCCAATGAATAGTTTCTAGGGATGATATAGATGATTTCTCAGACCTGGCTCAAGTTTCTTACAGCATATTTGCTCTCTGTTTTCTCTCTTCTGCCCAGAGACCAAAGACCCTGCACCCAGCAGATTTTTCCAATTTGAAAGGGTACAGCTTCCCTATTGGTTCCCCTGATCAGGTGCCAACTCATTTTAAGTTTACCTCTGCATCCCATTGAGACCTTTTAATTCTTTACAGGTAAAGCAAGTAGAGAACAGCTACTAAGAAGGATTTTATAGCTAACTGACTGGGCTGGCATACATAAAGGTTACTACCTTTCCCCCTATATTCATGACAGTCCCTTACATCATTTTCTTGATGGATAAATACTGTGAAAGTGGTGTGTTAGGTGTAGTGAGTTTCTCAGGCCTGTCAGCAGTTGCTGATCCGGAGTAGCGAATCCTTTGCCAGAGGGCACCAATGGGTTTCTGTGTCACAGCTGGTTTTACAGATTCCGAGGTGATGGGAGCCCTAGTCATGTGCCAGATGCTGTACAAACACAGAAGAAAAAGCAAGTCCCCGCCCCAGGAGTCTTACAATCAGTGGTGGATTAACACACAGGCCCTTGGGGCCTGTGCCCAGGGGCCCTGGCCAATTTGGGGTCCTCACAGGAGCTCCAGAATCTGTATAGAAGTTGGGGGGGCTCTAGAACAGTGTAACTCCTGCTCCCCATCTTCCCCCCAGCAGCCTGCCCCTGCTCCTCTTGTTCCCCCTGGAGCTCCGTCCCCTGGCCAGGCTGGAAGCTGTAACCAGGCCATGGTAAGAACTGCCTGGGGGGCCTGGGCCACTGTGAGTAGCCCTGGACCCTCCACCTGCCCTGGGAGGGGGGCTGGGGGGCCTGAGAGCACCTCCTGGCCCATGTCCCTGCCCCCAGGGCAGGTGGAGGGGCTGCTCATAGTGGCCCGGGCTCCCTGGGTGGCTCTTACCAGGGCCCAGCCTGGCCAGGGGGCAGGGCCTCAGGGGGGACAGGAGGAACAGGGGGCAGGTCCCCATGGCAATGAAGCGCTAAGGCTCACCTCAGCCCCCTCTCTGGGAAGAGGCTGGTGCAGCTAGAAGGGGCTGCACTTCACAGCGTGGGATCATCTCCCCCACCATGAAGCACAGCCCCTGCCACTGCTACTCCATGCCTGCCCAAGGCTACTAAGCCCATGTTAAAAAGTGGGGGGACATGGCTTAATTCCTGTTTGAACTAGAGCATATCTTTTGGGGGGGGGAGCCATCCAATCTTGATTTCCAGTGATACAGAATCCACCCTCCACCCTTGCTAAATTGTGCCAATGGTTAATAATCCTCGCTGTTAAAAATGTGTCTCTCATTTCTAGTCTGAATTTGTCTACTTTCAACTTCCAACCATTGCATCTTGTTCACTGAATGAGGTGCACAGAAATCTGCCGCCCATTCAGCTAGTGCAGAGTGGATTGGTTACATATCAATATGTTGTCTGTATCTGGATGGTGAGGAACTCTGACCTAAATTGGTAGAGTGACTGCCAATGATAGAGTAGGTCTCCAGCCCATACACAGAGGGTGGAAGGGACAGAAAGAAACACAAGTTATGTTCATGGATCATAATTCTATTGACAGTGACAGACATTGTTGCAAAGAATTTCTGCCTGCAACGGATAAATAAACACACTGGACACAACACATGGATCTCCCCCCGTTATTATGCAAATTCCTGTTGAGAACTACTTGCGCACTCCACAGACATGTAACACACTGAACACCTAACCTGGGCACTTATTTCAACCCTCAATATTTGCTCATGTTGCTAAGACTGTAATTAAGGTTGGATTCTTTATACAAAACAAAGAGGTTAACTGGGTCCAGGAAGTCAATGGGGTTAGACTTACATACTATTCAGCGTCGTACTGCTTCATGCCTGGCAGGATCAAACCCAAAGTGAAAAACTGACCCTAACTTCAATATACTTTTTGGAGTTACATATGGAGTTGGGGTGCGTTTTTTTGTCTGAAACTTTTTTTCCAAGCAAAAATGCAGATTCAGTACCAAAAAAACCCAAACAAAAACCCATCAGTTTCACTCAACTGTTCATCTAAAAAATACCCCCAAGAGACCATTTTTTGACATTTTTTAAACATATTTTGATTTTTCAAGTTGAAATGACTCATTTTTGAATTGCCTCCAATTTTATTTTTAAAAATTGCAACAATTTAAAGAAAAAAATTCAAAATTAAAATAAATTTTTACTTGTTGGCGCATCAGAATTTTTGTAAATCATTTTCAGATTGACCCAAAATTATTATTTTTTCAGAACTGATAGCAAACTGAAAAATCTGTCACTTGTACAGGTCTAATTATCGGTGTGAACTTTAATGTTATCAACTTCATTGACTTTAAGTTTAAAAAATTGTGGGGGGGCAGTTGGTGAATTTGATAAGCCCAATATCAGTTCTCTTCCTATGTGTGTTAATTAAACCAATACTTTAATGGAGAAATGAAAGAAGCTACAGCTCCCCTTCTTCCACTCTCCTCAAAGTTGGAACCTGGGTTTGGCCGATGGATACAGAAATAGCTCCTATTCCATTCATTTCTTTGCTGTCTTTAATATTTTTTAAAATTAATATGTGTGTATTCTGTGTTTCACATGATTACAGTCGCCATTGCATTCTGATCATTAACTTGTACATGGCCTAAGTTTAGCTATTACTTCAGTGAGTGTTGATTTTTTTCTCCATATGCAGGGATTATTTTAAAAGTATGTTGAGAAACAAACAAACACCCCCCCCCTTCAATTCTGCTTTGTGACACTTTCATATTCCCCTCCCCCACTCTTTCTTCTGGCTGGTTTCCACGTTAGAAATATGGGATCCTCGCTTCCCTTTGTTTGATGCACTTTCATCCCTCCCTACTCTGTCAAAATTATGTAGCTGAAACTGTGTTTAAAATCAGTTTCTGGCATTTTTTGTTGCTCAAACAAGAGCATTTACACCCTTATCTCATAAATCTTGCTGGGACGTATTTTTCTGAGATACAAGTATTTTATTTTCCAAAACTACCACACCTCTCTGGGGTTTTGTTTTTCAGATCCTTTTTTCCCAAGGGTGTCTCCCTGGATGGTGGCTCTGTACGTGCTCCTGGTTATTTCCTTTGTTTTGATAGGCGTTGCTGCTTTTCTCTTCAAGTTAAGAGGTAAAGGCAGATGAGGAAAGGAGACGGGAAAATAATAATGATCTCGGACCAGGCTCAGCTGAATAGAGATGTGATTACACACACAATTAAGCATGTGCTGAAGTGTTTTGCAGAATCAGGGCTATAAGCATGGTGCAGCGTTATGCGTTTAATATGAACATGTGGTTATCCTGATAAACACAGTCTGCGCAGTTATTCATGTGCTATCGCAGTAGCTGTGCATGGAAATTGATTAGTCAATTGTGCCACTAATTTGTTTGAGGTCTGGCCCTAATAATGACATGGACAATCTTCGTTTGTTGTCCAAATTAGCCCAAATCCTCCTCCTTCCCCTCCAAAGAGAGCCTCTAGTACAATTTGTTCACCTTTCCATACCCCTCTGCCAGTTCCTGGCTGGCTCTCAGAATACCTGATGCTTCACAGTTTACTTAACATAGAACCCTGCATAGCTCAGTGTTACTGGTGATTTACAGGATTCAGGACAGATTGTAACTCTATCGTTTGCTCTGACAAAGGGTCCTGCCCCAGGAACAGACTGGAGAACAAATTTTGAACATTGTAATTCCTCCCATCCTCCCTCTTGCTCTCCTGAGGCACTAAGGCAGCAGTTCTGCAGAAAAGGACCTAGGGGACGAGAAGCTGGATATGAGTCGACAGTGTGC